TTTCATTTCTGTCTTGCTCCTGTTGATCCTGCAGGCTGCAGACAAAGCACCCATTTCGATATGAAAGACTTGGAGTCAATAGGACAGCATTTTTGTGATGCTCTCTTGAACTACTGTGTTCATAACAAGGAGGTAAGGAAAGTCTCCCCTAGGTCTTTTCTTCTGTCTCAATTCATCCTACTATGACAAAACATAATACTCTATAGGGTTATAGCAATAATAAAGTTGATAATGGCTTTCTGTAAGCAGTAAAATAAATGTGTGTTGTTTCTTATCTGTGCATGACGGAACACAAGAAGGCAGTGAAACAGCAAGCCAGGGAGAGCTCCAAGTGCCTGAATTCTGATGTGTTAGACAAGGATTGCAGGTAACTTAGAACTACTCAGATACACCACAATTTCTTATATGTCCCCTGCACCTCATAAAGAGTGCCAGATTAAATGTTAGAAATGTTACTAAAATTACTTTTAATTGTCATACTCCTTAATAGCCAGTTCACTGGAAGTAGAGCTCTATATGTACCCCGGGGTAGCCTTCCTGAGGAGAAATAAAACTCTGTTGGTGCAGAGGTTGGTCTGTTGCATCACTTGAACAAATATAATTTTTTTCAGCCTTATAATTTTCAGAGCAAACTAGCTACAATATAAGGTATATTGTTTTGATTTCATGTAAACTGAATTTCATTAACCATCGAAGATGCTAGTCTTAGTCCATTTAGCCAGACAGGTTAAGTTCAAGGTAATTCATAGCAATGCAAGAATCTGTACATTGACCAAATGATAAATCTGTTAAAAATGATCCTCTCTTCTGTGCCAGTGCTGACTGTGAGTGACTGCAAGATCAGTCGTGCAGGTGATTTTTGTGTTACGTACAACTGTGGTCCTATGGTCATTTATTAGGGAATAAAGCCTTTGTGTATTTCTTTTTTGGGGAAACATTAATAGGTTGGATCTATCTCATCAAATTTCAGGTGTCTAGAGTATAGAAATCAAGAGCTGAGCTTCACAACTGATGCTGAACTGCAAGGAAATAAAAAGAGACACAAGATCTTGATGCATCATCAGAGAACTAGGAGAAGGCTTGCTGGGAACAAAGAGGATGCTGTTCTGTGAGAGGATTTAGGAGAGGAGGGAGAGGGTGTGTGGAGCAGAACTAAAAGAAACCTAGGTAGTAGCAGGAGGTGTCATCTGCACAGAGCACATCTCTTTCAATACCCAGGCTTCCTCTAAGATCATGATGATGCCAAATTTTTGCAGTTTAGGTGTAGATCTGTAAAATTAAAATGTGGATCCAGAAGACAGACATGTGGAAAATACATTTACATCTCTACAGCTAGGGTTACTACAGAAAACACCTGCTAATGGTTGGAATGAATGCTGCAGAATACTGTTTGCAACCACCAAATTTGGAAATTTAACAAAACAATGCTCATCTTTCATAGTAGCCAATCCTCTGACAGCCCAGACTCCTGTGATCTTGTTGAACACCAGCTAAAACTAGATAATAAGGTATGCTATGACATTTTCTTGTCTCTTTATATTTCTGTCCTGAATGCCACTGGGAAAGAATCACTAGAGTTTAATAGATCCTATTTTGAAGAATCTTAGGATTAAGTCAGTCAGAATAGTAATTAACAAATCAATAGTCTTATAGGGATACAGTCCAAATGAACAGTGCAGAGCAATAGGATTAGTTTTCCCTATAGCTTAACCCAGATTGTCCAGAAGGCAATGGTTTTGTTCCAAAAGAAGGTGACTTTCTACCTGTCAGGTTCTGCAGTACAGCTGGATCAGCAGACATAGGGTCAAGGTGAGGAGGAGGAGGGCACCAGCTTTAAGCACCAGATGTATGATGCCCATGTACACTGGTGTCAGCCATATGTTCAGATACCCAGTTCAGAGTGTTCAGGAGTTGCAGTCCCCTCTCACGCATGTAGGCAAGTCGTCACACGGGTGCTAAGTGCTGTCAGCATCAGGCATTGCCTGCTTCTAGTCTCATAGGCAAATGTAGACCCAAATTTAACAAAGTGCTTTCATTTTCTTTTCCTGCAACCTGTATTTCCTCATTTTGCTGAAAAGAATGGGTTGAAACATGTTTACTTCTTTGGTGCTTGTTATTACAATAGTATTAGTCAACATGTTTCCTGTAGATAAGCAAACAAAACTTCTGTGAGTATATTACTTTTAGAAAGCTTGTGGATAAATTTTAGCCAAGAAAAATAGCTCCTGTAAATTGTTGCTTCCTGTTTGTGATGTAAATACAGTAAATAAACAACAGTAAAAGGGGAAACTAGTACCAAGACTGTGTACGAAGAATGTGTAAAACTGCAGTGACCCCTGTAACACTTTGCAAAACATGCAGATAGGCATTACAGGTGACTAGGCTGGTTGACATTGCATGATTTGGAGTTCTAGATCTAGTTTCAGAGAGAATAGTTTGAAACATGATGTAGTCCGATACTTGTAGTGAGGAACGCTGCCACAGATCCCTTTATGTGCTCTGCTCCTCCCTGGAGGCATTTGTCCCTGGAGGAGTTATATGGACAACATATGCTTGTGCAAAGTTCAGCAGTTCCACTTAGTTCCACTGTCATCCAGAGTTTAAGCAAAGCTTTAGGGTTTTATACTTAAGGAAGGTGAAGTCCAGACAGACTTTCCACTCACTCAGCCCACCTGGGGGTTAGTAATTTCTGATGGAAGGGGTGCAAGGGTGGTGTTGACTTGTAATGTTTATCTATAGCTTGAAATTTCTTCCCCTATTCTGTTCAGTGCTAAGGAACCAAGCAGGAATTTCCACCACTGGTATTTCCATGGTATTTCCAGGATTATATTATTCACAGAAGGTCAACTGTAGTGGGTTGGATTAAAAGTCTCTTTTGCATGGTACAAAGACTGGTAGCAGAGAGTTGGTGGAAGTACACAGAGGAGGGATGAGTTTTGAGATTTTTTTCCTTAACGTACCCTGTCATTTTTGTTCTTGTAACGCTACCTCTGGGATTAAGTTTATTCATCTGTGAACAATAAATCCACATGGGTGCATTTTGCAATATTGAATTTAAAAAAAAATACTCATGAAAACTTTAGAATGAAAACAATAAATGGACTCTAAAGTTAGCAGCATTTTCTGGTTAACACCAAGTATCGTGGACCTTTTAGTTCTTCTCAGCCCTTCATGCTCTCTTGCCCCACCTGCTCTTGTCTGGCTGGCAGTATGCTTGTGCATGGGGCTGGCAGCTGTGAGGACTGGCAACTTGAGAAAAAATTGCCTAAAACTCTAAGCCTTTCCACTCCATTTGCTGAAAATAGCCTTGTTTGTGTCGACACACCATGACAGTCAGTGGGATTGATTCCAGGGCTTTTTTTGACATCTGTAAGGGCCGTTTCTGTGTGGTCTATAAATGGTATGTACAAGCAGGGCAGGCATGTTTGCCTGCTGTCTGTGACTAAGCTGTAAATTGAGCAGGCTGCCATGTAACTCTCATTCATAACTGCTTATTGCAAAACATCTGTGTGTGGCATTTATCTCAGGGATTGGGATTAAAAGCCCTATAATGAGATTTACCAGATGACATGGGAGTTGTGGAACCCTGTTGGATAATTGTGATTTCAGGGGACTTTCAAACTCCAAAAAAGAATTGGAGAGGTGTAACTCTGCTTTAGATAACTGAAGTCCAGACAAACACAGAAGACCACTACAGAAAGTAGGGTATTGTCCATTTAGTTTAGTCTTTAAAGTCTACCACCTGGTAGACTTGCTTGGTAATACACATTAAAAAAAAATCCAAGGACAAAGAAGGGCAGGGATGCCTTCCTAGAAACACTTGAGCAGGGCCATGAAGAACCCACATGAGCATTTGTTAAAGCTTAATTACTTCAGGGTCTGCACTATATGATGGATTATCATATTCCTCATCCTGACACACTTTTCACACAATGTGATGAGCTACTTGACAACCACTTTCTGTTCTTCCTTGTCTCCTCCTGCCACATCCCTTCTTGTGTATTTCATCCACTTATATCCCTCTGATGTTCAGTCCCTGCCATGACCTTATTTAACACATCAGTCTGGTAGAAAACAAACCCAGCAAAAGGAATGAGATAATTATCTGCTGGGTGAATGAGTTAAATCAGCTCACGGAAGATTTTTTTTTGAGCATCAGAGCCAGTTTAAGCGATGAAAGAAAACACTAAGCAGCAGGGACCAAAGTGGCAGGTTTGGGAGTGAGCGAGGCAGGACCAAGGACAAAAGAAAAGATATGTTCTTCTTCAGTAGCACAGAGCCCTAAGGAGGTCTCAGCAGTCTGTGACACCATAACTTTAGGTGATTATTCAAACCTCCTTATTTTAAAATTGACTGCACTTGACAAATGAATCCCTCATTTAATACACAATAAAGAGGAGGGTTCTCCAGTGGAGATCACTCTGGGTACAGAGCCCATACCATCACATGCCTGTGTTAGGAGAGGATGAGCATGTTTGGAGCTGAACACGGCTTTGGCCATGTAGGAGCCTGATTCTGTAAGGCTATTCCTGCCAATACCTATAAACACTAGCATACATTGCAAAACTGTTAGTTAAGTGGTGCTTCACTAGGTCCTGTTCTGTAATTTCTGTGCTGAAACATAGGCAAAGACATCTTTCATGCAATGAAATTGTCTGAATTACATTCATGCATTTTTCATGCAATGAATTACAGTGCTTTTGCTGGATGTATACTAGCAGCAAAACGTCAGAGTGATACTGTGTAAAGAAAGTTAAAAGAGTTTATCAAATGCGTTTAAAAGAACAGTACATCACAAGTGCTTCAAGGAGTTTCTTAGTTTTGTTCTTCTCATGATTACGTGTGCTTTCCCGTGTGGATCTACTTCAGTGGATAATTAAGGTTATTAGATCAAAAGACTTCCCAAAATTTCTGTTGCTCTTGATGGAAGTGAAACATGAAAAAAGGTGAATTGCAAGGAATATCACAGGTACAGTAGAGCTTTTGACAGAAATATGTGCTGGAGCTGCATGTAGCCCTCAAGAGCACTTTCCTGATGTTCAGCCTAGAAAACTATACGGCCCTCAGCTGTAAAATAGGAGCACTTTTATTGTTGCCTAGGGAAAGCAAACTGTTGTCTGGAAAGAAGTCACATTCATATTTTTATGAGTAATATTCTTTTTAGGTACATAAACATTATAATGCTGGCCGCTTTATTAATGCTCTCAGTAGTTCAATAGGTAGACCAGTGCTTCCCAATCTTTTTGTGTTTATGCCAGTCTTTCTTTTCAGAAGCCCCAACATCAGAAAAACAGAGCATTGGCAATTAATATTACTGAGAAAGCCTGGCTCTCCAGGTTCCCAGACTAAAAATAAACAATCTGAACTGAGTAGGAAGTGAGGTCCCTTGTTAATATGATATGTTTGTGTCCAGGTTTGTAAATATTTGCTGAACAGAACAGCAGGAGGAATTCAGCCTTAAGCAGCTTGTTTACATGCATTCCTTTTAGCATTGTGATTATCATGCTTATTTGCAACTCTTTTTTTTTTTTTAGTAACTATAATACTCCCTCATGAATCAAAATGGTTACATGCTATTTTCTGTGCAGAAAACCCCCAAAACATCAAAATATTTTCACAGCATTGCTGAGGACAGAAGTAATGAAAGCAAAATAGTGACTATTTTTCATTTTGGTAGAAATGTGTTGTGCTCTTTTTCTGACCAGAGACCAATATATGATAATTTAATTCTACCACTGTAACTCTGGACAAACAATTTTGTCACCAAAAGCTGCTGACATAGAATGCCCATTGCTTGTTATTGTCTATTTCATCCATAAATAAAGTATCAACATCAGCAAGTCTGAAGCAGGAAAAAGTGGTAAAATTATGATTTGTGAATATATTATTTGATACATTTAGGTCTTTCTGTCAAGAAATAAGCCTTGGAACTGGAGATTATACCAGCTCTTCTTCAGTATCCAAAACTACTAACACCTTATTACCTCAGCTGAACCTGTTTCACTTACAGTTTCATTGAATGAGATTTTTGCCAAGTCCATTACAATATTTTCCATGGTGTTTTCCACTCCAATAGAGTGCTATGAAGAGAAGAGAAAGGGACAAGTCACAAGACGTTCTAGGGAAACAAGCAACAATTTTTTTTAACTAACTCTTTAATCATTACCAAGCCCCAGCTCTGAAATACTTGTGCTGGCAATGGTTGCAAAGCTGGTTCATGCCCCTTCCTGCCATTCTGAGTGTGTGATTCGGTACTCAGCATTAACTGATCTAGCAACTACCATGGGATTAAGTTTATTAAAAGGTCATTTTCAGAACAGTTGATGTAAGATCTAATCTTTTTTTAAAATGTCACTTCTCCATTATTGCTGTTCAGCATCCTGCATAACAATTTAGAAAATATGAGCTTTGTTGCAGTTGACAAACATTTAAAAGTCCTAGATGAAAACATTGGAGTCTAATGTTATGTTCCTACTTTAATGAAAAGGAGTTTAACTTAAATATTTTT